GACCTTTACTGCACAAAAGCAGCAAAAACTCTCAGGCACGCCGCACTACTCATTTATATTCCGAGCCGGGAGCTGATTCAACTGACACACCAAACACTCTTAAAACCTCCGCATTCGCAAGGGCTTTCTCATGTAGACCTAACCACAGACAGGAGCCGTAGTGTCTGTTAAATAGGAAATTAGAATCGGAAACATACTGTCTTACAGAATGTTAAGTAAAAAGAAAATTTAACTCGAAAATCGCCAATAGGAATAAGCACTTTAACGCGTACAGTTTTGAGTAAGTAATACGAACAGGGGCCGTCCATATAACTTTAAATATTAGACTCTACTAATACCAGTAGTAATTGAGTACGAACTGAACAAACGCCTGGTCAGTGTAAGAAAAAGTCAGCCTACGTACGCTAGGGTATGAAGTGCATTAACCACAACATGAGGGAAGAAGATAGTGGCAAGGGTATTAGTGGTCATGTATGCGCTGATTTTGGCAAGACACTGGAATAAGGATTCTCACCCAGTTACACAGGTAGCATTGGGAACTGATATCCGTATTGCAAACCTAAACATACTTGTAACCCTAACACCAAACTTGAACCTTCTTCGTAACCCTGTCATTAATTCTAGCCCTAATCTCACTGGAACTTACCGCAAGGCCACCCCTATTAGATGGAATTCCTATTCCCGCGTTTTGCCCTTCTTTTGGCGTAATGCTACACTGTATAGCAAGAGTCCTAGCTGAAGGGTAATAGTGCGGACTGCACTTAAAATCATGGCCAGTTTTGGAAAGCGGATCGGGCTGAAAATTTGAAAATTTCGATCGACAGATATTATTTTAAATTTAAAAAAGGGAAACTAATTACGATCTACTCGGGATTCCACGCTGTTTAATCAATTACTACTTAGTGGTCTTGATGGGTTACCTCAAACTGCCACTCCAACTCCAACTTTTCAATCCAAAGGGGTGTCTGTGAGGTTGCAGAAGACAGGCAGGAAGAAGATGATGAGCTGTTTCTCCGCGCGTTTACGGTGCGAAAAACACGTCGAGCCGTATCCAGGTAGGCAGTCAAGCCAGGAGATGGTACAGGGGTGACGCCGGGGACCACGGACTGTTGTTCTTGACGCTGAGCTCCGCTACCTTCAAAGAGACTACTCAAACTGCCCGAGAGGGAACGTTGACGATCAGTGGAACCCAGCCGGATCTTTGCGGCCCTACAGAGTAGAGTAACTAGTGGCATTATGTTGGGGATACAAACGCTGGTGGTGGAGAAACAGGAGGCGTAAATCTCTACGGCTCGACTGGACAGTGGACATCGCTCCACAGAAACCATCTGACTTCTCAGGTCGCTGAGGCTCTCTTGTGAAATTTCGGTATTCTCCATGGAAAGAAGGCTGCGCCAGGTCTGAGTCAGCGAAGAAACCTGCGTAAGAAAGGGTGAAGGAGTGAAGGTGATTTAGTAACCTAGGGCAACGACTGAATTAGAAAAAATAGGTAAAAAAGCATGTGAGTCATTTTTCATATCCGGCTTGACCCCAGAGAACACGAGAGTAGATTAGGTGAACTCTAAAGTGCAGTTAATTTAAACACAAGCAGACCACTGCTTGAATGAAAATCCTCATCGTTACTCGCAGAGGTTGTGTTTCCGCCCCATCTGTCAGTAGGAAAAATTGACATCCTAAATATCTGGAAATGTTAAACAACCCGCAAAAAGTCCAATGTGGTTAATTTTGACAATCAGGGAGAAACATACCTCAACGTTGCTAACCGGGTATTTGAAGACGCTGGGACTTTATGTTGTAACCTAGTGTGTTCCTGTGTCAACACTGGTTATCTCACCTGCGTCACCACGGTTGTAACCTAGTGTGTTCCTGTGCCAACAGCGGTTATGTCCCCCAGTGCGTGTTAGGAAGAGAAGACAGAATGGGATAACAACTAGTAATTTACTGTCACTGATACTAGTAAATAAACTCTGGTCCGTGTGTCCAGCAGTAGCCTTCTGTGGTCGGTCTCGCTACGG